CCTACTGGCCCCTCTCCCATTATACTGACACCCTTAAACAGAGGAACGTTTTATCTCGTATATCAGTACCTATCTGTTCAACCTTCATATATAATCATAATCGAATCATTTGTTACCCTCTACCCTGGAACCACCCTGGTCAAAGCCTCCGTTACTTTTTTCCGAAATCAATGCAAGCACATCCTAATGGCTCTCCCTGGCTCTACCCCTACAGTCTATATGCAACATAATAACCAGAGTGATCCTTCTGAAATTTAAGATTATATCATCCTTTTATTAAAATCCTTATAAGGGAGCCAGCAGGTGGCATAGTGGTTAAGACACTGGACTCCCACATAGCTGACCATGGTCCAAGTCCCAAGCCTGGCAGCTTGAAACTCATGCCACGCGTGTGTATATGCATGCCCAAAACCCCAATAGGAGAATGGAGGAGAAGAAGCTGTGGTGTGGCCATCCCCCCAGGTGGGGGATTCCTTATTCTCTCATTCAGTCTCTCTGGTAAGCACACATGCCCTATAGCAAAAATCTCTTAAAACAAAACTAAAAACCCAAATCACCTCCTGCCTACTCCTAAGCTCCCTTACCGTGTTTTAACTTTTTTCCATGTATTTATCACCTTGTATTATACATATACCTTACTTTTTATGCTTATTGTCTATTATATGTGATCTCCCTACTGGAATATACACTCTGTGGAGGAATCCTTGTCTAAATCCCAAGTGTCTACAACAGTACCTAGCAACATGGTAGTCACCAAATAAACATTTGCTGACTTGACAAATAAATTTAGGTTATATCCCTTGGTACCTTATCTAGTATAGAACGGGAACTTAAATGAATGTTGAAAGCAAAACATTTAAGGACACAAAAGTGGAAAATTATGTGTTCATGACATGTATGATAATATCTTTAACTAGACTAATATATAGTGTATTCATGCTGGGAAAAGTTATTTTACAAGCTATAATAATATACAATGACTTAATGTATAAAAAATAATAAAATGAATAAAAACAGGAAGCAAAACATTTAAGGGACACAAAAATGGAAAATTATCTGTTGATGATAACATGTATGATAATATCTTTAACTGGACTTACACACAGTGTATTCATGCTGAGAAAAATCATCTGCATGCTGTAATGATATATGGTGATTGTTTAAAAAAATAAAAATTAATTAATTTTAAAAGAAATACAGGGCGTATGAACATAAAATGAGAGGTTAAAAATAGTACAACAGAACTATGCACTTCCAAATAAAAGCCCAAACAAAGCCTTAATAAATGAATGAATGAATGTTGAAGGAAGCTAAGTTAAAATAAAAAGTGTAACTGTCAGGTATACTAAGATGCTAATGTCAAAATTATTTTTATATCTATAGCACATTTTACAGTTAAAACTTTGCCCTAAGGGTATACTGTTACTAAATCAAAGACAAATTATGAACTCTTCCATCCTTATTAAAGAGGCTACATTGTCCCAACCCAGGATCATTTTCCATTCTAATTAGGTTTCTATCTGGCAACACATCTCTGAAAAGTTACAATAATCCACAAATAAACTTTACGGTGTATGTGGGCACAGATCGTTTTCACTGTCTGGTACATCCACACCCAGACCTTCTGGGTTCTTGTAAAGAAATGCTGATGTTAGGGACCAGCAGGTGGCATAGTGGTTAAGGCACTGGACACTCCCACATGGCCAACCATGGTTCGAGTCCTAGACCTGGTGGCTTGCTTTCTCTCTCTCTCTCTCTCTCTGGTCAAATGAAAATAAATGATGAGTAAATAAAATTAAATAATTAAAGAAAAAAGAAGTGGCTTTAAAAAAAATGTTGATGCTATTTTTTCCAACTACCTCTTTACCTCCATTTTTTTGTTTGTTTGTTTTTGCCACAGGGTGTGTGTACTTGCTGGAGAGACACAGAGAGAAACTGGGAAATCCACCCCCCCTTCTCCTCCAATTTCCTCCTAGGTTTCTGGGCATACATGGACAAATAGCCAACGTGATTTTCAAAGCTGCCAGGTCTGGGACTCAAACCACAGTTGTCCATGTGGGAGTCCAGTACCTCAACAACCATGCCACCTGCTAGTGTCTGCCTCCTTGCTTTTAAAGTAACAGGGAGAGGGAACCAGCAGTTAGCGTAATGGCTATGTCGCTGGACTCCCACGTAGTCGACCGCGGTTCGTGTCCCGGACCCGGTGGCTTAAAAAACTCACGCCGGGCGCGTGTGCGTGCGTGCCCAAGATCCCGAGAGGAGAATGGAGGAGAAGGGATTGCGGCGTGACCATCCCCCCTGGGGGGTGATTTCTC